GAACCTAGCAATAGTTGCACTAATACCCTTACACAAGCCTTTGGGGAGTTTAAAACAGGACATAATATATGTAGGCATAGCCATAATGACAGATTTGATAAGGACCTCCTTACCCCCAGACTAAGCAGTTTATGTTTCCATCCTTGAAGCTTACTAGTGATTATACTTTTTAGGTACCCAAAAACCTGATTCTTAGCTCTCCCAATAGTCATAGGTAATCCTAAATATTTCCTACTAGAGGCTTCTCTCATGTTATCCAAGACCTCGCTGATTTCCTTTCGAATCAAGTTGGGGGCATTCTTGGAGAAAAACATAGCAGATTTGTCAAGGTTTACTACTTGTCCCGTGGCCCGACCATATATCTGAATGATCTCCTTCACCTTCTGAGCCTCCTCCTTGCTTGCTTTGCAATACAAGAGTGAATCATCTGCAAAAAATAAATGAGAAACCATAGGGCTGTCTTTGCAGACTTTGATGCCAGTTAGTTGCTTATTTTCCACAGCTTTCTTGATTAAACTAGACAGCCCTTCCGTACATATAATGAACAAATAGGGAGATAAAGGATCTCCTTGTCGAATTCCTCTGGAAGGTTTGATATAGCCCACCTTTTGTCCATTCAAGTTAAAGGAATAAGAGACAGTGGAAATGCACGTCATGATCCAGCAAACAAAAGTAGGACAAAAACCCATATGCAACATTATTCTACCTAGGAATTTCCACTCCACTCTACCATAGACTTTGGACATATAATTAAAATAATTGATAGTAGGCTTTTATATATAATTAAAAATAAAAAAATTAGAATGGTTATTCTTCCTTTTTTTCACTTTAAGAGATCGAAAAACATAAAAATAAAAGAGTTTTTTCAAATTTATTTTTTATACTTATTAATACTAGGAAAAGAAAAAGAAATAGGAAAGAAGGAGAGAAAAAATTAGATTTTAAAAAAAAGAAAATAAAGAAAAGTCTAACATTATCGTATTACTTTAATATTGTTGGGATTAAAATTAAAATTTGGTGGTAAACAAAAATTGTAAAATAATAAAAGTATTTAATTCTTTTTTATTTATAAATTTTAAAAAAAGAATTAAGCTCTCTGTCCCCCTCACCCTCCACCTCCACCTCTCCCTCTCTATCTTTCTATTTTTTTAATATTAATAAGATTACCGAGAAGAAAGAAATTAATATTTTGACTTTTTTTCTTGATACTAAAAAGGAGAAGAGCCACTCTAAATTTTGTATTATTTTTATTATGCAAAGAGAAGGGTATTTTCTTCTTAAGTTTTTTAACTTACTAAGTTGGTTTAATGGTAGGATAAATTATCTAAAAAATAACTCTAGGGGGTGAATTGATTATGAGACTATATTTTATGGGGTAAAGTGATAATAATTTTAAGGATTAAACATGTCTTTTCACTTTAATTAACAAACTCCGTTAAATTTGATTATTAGTCTTGGGATAAAGTAACTAAAAGATAATGTTGATGGGAAAAATTGATAGGCGCACCAAATATTAAGGGGGTAAAGTGATAATAATCCTTTTTTTTTAATCAAAGTTGCCAATGATGGACCTTAATCTCTCTCGTCTTACAGCGTTGACTCCAAGACTCAATTATTTCGCCAAGTCTTAGCCTCTTAGCAGTTTTCTGCAAAGGATTTTGGAATGGGATCCTCGAGTACCTCCGTGGGCAATCTGCTGCGCAATATTGGTTCAGCACAATAGTCCGGCAATTTGCTTCAAGTTCAGGTGCGTGTGCAAGCTTTCCAAATGCTGTTTGCTTAATTCTTTAATTCCGTAGCATAGCGTATTCTTTAATTCATTTAAGCTATTTAATTTTGAATTTAAGTTTGTATTTGTGAAGTTATTAACGTGTAGCATTGAAGTGATGACTATGTCAGAAATTCGAAAAAAAAGGAGAAAGAAGAAAGATCAACGATGAAGATAAATAGAAACAAAGGCAAAAGGGGGGGAAAAAGAAAAGGAAAAGATGGATGAATAATAGATAGCTAGGCGTCTTTTTCATTTAAAATAAACTCTAAACATGTCTGAGGTGATATTCTTTCCTTTCACAATGATATGCTTTTAGATGAACTAAGGTATTGAAAAAAGAAAACAATAAAAAGTATTGATGCATAAGGACATGTTTTTCTTTTGCATTGTTTTAACAGCACAAGTACAAAAGAAAATAAAAACCACCATAGTGCACGGAGTATCTTTGTCGTTTCAATTGCTTCGGCAACATAATTATATTCATTACTATATGAAAAGTGCACAAACTTAAAGCTAGAAATTAAGTGAAATGTCCTTACTTTTGGGGAGTTTTGCAATACCTTTTAAGGGGTTCAATATAAGTAATCCGTTTGGTTTGGTAATAGCAATAAACGTGTATAAATGGAGGGGATAAAGTGGCAAAACAATAATGTTAGGGACTATAGTGCAAACTGGGAAATTAACAGTTTTATATCGGTGAAAATGACATTATATTGGAAACATAATCAACCCTCATTTTGTTTTCTCCCCAGGTTGCCAAACGTGGGTCATCATCTATAGACTTAACGTACTAGATGATTTTTTAGTTCAATTATTGACTAATGATAAACTGGAAGAGAGATAATCTATAATTTAGTCCATGCCAAAAATGAGATGTTTCTTTCTAATCAAATTTATGAAGGCTATAACAACCATTGGTGAATTGTCAAATTAAACCAATAACATGCTTATGCTAATTAAACAAAAAATTATTTTGAGAAAAGTAGTTAACCCTTGCGTTATTTCCAAGTTGCCAATGGTGGACTATAATTTATAGACTTAACGTATTCGATAATTCTATAGTTCAATCATTTGTAAATAATAAGCCGGAAGAAAAGTACTCGAATTATTAATCCGCGCAGAGAAAGAAATGTGGCCTTCATGAAATGTTTAAATACCGGAACAACCATTGATGAACCATTTTATCGACAAAAACTCTTTATGCTAAGTAAACAAAAGGGATTTCAGCATCCAAAATAAACTATGAAAGGATGAAAGGATAGGGTCGTGTGCGAAAAAAAATAAAAGTGAGATTGGTAAAATTTGACATTTTGAGTTTTGAAAATTTGAAAGAAATTCAATTCTGAAATCGTCAACGTCCAATTGATTACTATTCCAAATTGAAATCGTCAATATCGTCAAAAAGCCAAGCATATTCCAACCCCAAATTCTGTTCCCAATTCATGCATTCTTCAATAATCTGAGATCGAAGTAACATAGTGAAATAACTAATTTATTTTTGATACATTATTAACGCAAGCTCGTTTAAGCTATTTATACTTTAATTTTAGTTTTTAGTTGCTAAAAAAAAAGAACCTTGAATTTTAATTTATATTGGTGAATTTGTTCACATATTACATTCAGGTGACGGTTGTATCCAGATTCCAAATCAAGAAATGAGAACGAAGAAAAATCTTCGATGAAGATAAACAGAAACAAAGGCGAAAAGAAAAGGGAAAAATGGATGAATTATAGATCACTATGGGCCTCTCTTGTTTGAAATAAACTCGATACATGTAAAATGTATGGAAAAAGAAAAGCAAGGAAATAATAACACCAGTATAGGTGTAAACAGACATGTTTGGCTTTTAATTTTGTTTTCACAACACAATTATATAAGAAAAGAAAACCATTGTAGTGCTAGGGGTATCTTTGTCATTTTGATAACTCTGACAACATAAATATGTTGACTAATGATTAAAATGGGTTAATTGATACACACTTGAAAATATATATTAAAGGGAAAAGTACACTATGCTTTAGGGTGTAATTTAGTTTAAGTACCCCCATTTAGCCTAGGAGTAGATATTCTTTTTTTTTTTCCTTTTTTGAAATAATTTCAATCCTCAAATAATGAGTCTGTGTTAATGGAAGGGGTAAAGTGATAACACAACAATGTTAGAGGCTACGGTGCAAAGTTTCAAATTGACTTTTCTTATGGTTGACAATGACAATATGACATTATTTTGAAAACATTATAATTACCCTCATTTTGTTTTCAAGTTGCCAAAGTTGGGCCACCATGTATTAGACTTGACGTACTAAATAATTCTTTAGTTCAATTATTGACTTAAAATTAATTGGAACAAAAGTAATTAATTATAATTTAGTTCCTGCAAAGAAAGAGATGCTGCCTTGATAAGGCCAACAACCATTGATAAACTATCAAAACAAAAAACATATTTGCTAGACAAAAGGTTATTTTGAAAACTAGATTAATGAGTGCGTTTGGATAGCAAATTATTTGAGATATGTTTTTTAAAAAACGGGTTTGTTTGGATAGGAGTTTATTTGAATGATTTATTTCAGATAATTATTGTATCACTTTTTGTGATGTAATGTATGTGAGATAAAAAGGTGATTGGGAAGATAAAATGTTAATTTAAAATTATGAAGTAAATTATTTTATTTAAAATCATCTAAATCCAAACAAACCATTGTAGCACCTTTTTGATGTGATATATGTGAAATAAAAATGTAATTGAAAAATATATTGATGATGCAAGTAAGTTAATGTGTGTAAATAAAATAAAAATAATGTGTAATCCAAACATAATCAAAATACCCTACAAAGAAAGAGCAAAGTGCCACAAATCCCCACGATCTATTGTTTTAACTACATTGAAACCTTTTGGGGTAGCAACTTACTGATTTGGATCCAAGTGATCCTCAATTAGGGAGGGAAAACCAAAACACTTGTAGTAGATGATATGCCCACCAAAAGAATGAAAGCATTATTGTGTTTGGAAGGTAGATTATTTGGGATAATTTTTTGAAAAAAATATCAGAGTATTTTTTTTAATGTGATATATGTGAGATAAAAAATGATTGAAAAATATGTTAAATGACGTAAACAAATAAAAAATAGTAAATAATTCCCTATCTAACCTGTTCAGCACTAATCTTTTTTTAATCAAAATTGCCGATGATGGACCTTAATTTCTCTGGCCTTACAGCGTTGACCCCGAGACTCAATGTCTTAGCCGCTTAGCAGTTTTCTGCAAAGGATTTTGGAATGGAATCCTCGGTGAGCAATCTGCTGCGCGATATTGGTTCACCACAATAGTCCGGCAATTTGCTTCAAGTCCAGGTGTGTGTGCAAGCTTTTTGAGATTCAGCTTAACATTTTTTCCTTCTATCTTTCGCTTGATTCTTTGATTCCGTAGCATAGAGTATAATTAGTACTTTAAAAGATCTCATATATTGTAGCTTCAACTCCTGCTGGGAGCTTTTAATTATCTTTAGCTGTGGAGTCAACTGCCTGTCTTCTTGGTCTACCTCAGATTGCTGGTTAAGCAATTATGAGGGATTCGGGACTCTAATTGTAGTCACAAATCTAATCGTAGCATCGACTTAATCAGTAGTTGTTCAAATTTATCTTACAAAATAAAAAGAAAATACTAAAATTTGAAAGGAGCAGTTTAGATTGAGTCCTATTACTAGCAGCCAGATCTGTACTCAGTCCTATTTGCAGTTGAACCGCTGACTGTACTCAGTCCAGTTCATGTACATATACTACTTTCTCATGGTGGAAATTGGTAAACAAAAGTTTCTCCATCAAATCAGTTGTTTTTTTGTCGAAAATTGTTTGGTCTTTTTTTTTTTTTGGTCAGCAACGGTAGATGTCCTATAACATAATCTAGCCTAATCTAGGGGGAAAGGATAAGAGGAGATGGTCAACTAAAACCAGCTACATATTGTGGCAAATTTGAGGGAGGTAGGGGGTTGAACCCTGATTTCCAACATCACCAAAAAGGGTGATGACCACTGGACCAAATGGCCAGTAGCTCGAAAATTGCTTGGTCATTAAAGCAAAAGTGTTGAAGGACTAGTCAAACTAGGACGCAGGAGACTGTATGGTGGGAAAAGAGAGGAAAGATCAAAATATATTGTGTGAAGGTATATAGAGGTTGCTTTTCTTTTGTTGTGGATTGATTTCTTTTTTATTCTTAGATATCAACTATTACGACAATCCTGATTAGAGGTGGCAAAATGGGTGATTTGGGTGGGTTTGGGTTGAGTAAAATGGGTAATAGGTATAAGTGAGTCAACCCATTTATATCCATTTAATTAGATGGGTACAAATGGATAAGTCAAAAAATAAATTGGGTAACCCAATTACCTATTTATAACCATTTATTTTAACTTTTGTAAACTCATTTAAATTCATTTTTGCAAACTAAGTTATCAATTTATATCGCCTTTTGCACCCATCATTAGTTTTAAATATTTATTTATAATGTTCAATAAGCCTAATTATCAATTTTTTTCTTATTCGTACTTTATGTCGCAAAATTACATGCCATTTAATAATTGAATAATAAGAATATAAAAATTTTAACTAAGTACTATAAAAGCTAACATAAAAATTAATCCAAAAATTTTGAATCCCTAACATTTTTTTCATATATAAATTTAAAATTTCATTTTGGAAAGATAGGAAAAAAGGTTAAAAATCATCATAAATTGGTAATGTTGAAAAAATGAGCAAGTTAACAAACTAAGAGAAAATAAAATGATAAGATAAAACCAACAAATAATGATAATAATGAAACTAAAGTAGTTGACATCATGACAAAATGAGAAATCTGAAAAAAAAAATGGGTGGGGGAAGAGAAGAGACTTGGGAAAAGACAATTCTAAATGGGTTAATTGGGTTTCATCGGTTACCCAATAATACCCATTTATTGGGTAACTCATTTATACCCATATGCAAAAGTTTAAGATACCCATACTTATCTATTCATGGACGGGTATGGGTAAATTTAATTAAATGGATTGATTTGCCATCTATAATCCTGACGAAGAATAAGTATGTCAAGACTTGATGATGATGGCTTCTAATAGTTCTTCACTTCTTTTGCTCCTTGATTTACCTTAACCAGCTTATGGAGCAGCGGTGAAAGTGTACTTTATGGTGTCATATAATCACCGACTCTGAAGTAGAAAAGTTTTGTAGTATACCATGAGCTTCATGATCAGTTGTTTGATAAGAAATGAAACCGTACTTAAACAGGGACTTAGGGCCTGTTTGGAGTTGCAGTAGCTTTTTGAAAAGCACTTCTCTAATAGAGTTTTTAATAAAAGTACTTATTAACTGCTTAAGTGCTTTTAAATATATTGTTTGGAGACATAATTCAATAAGTACTTATTGTATTGGATAATGTGTAATTTGAAAATTTTTAAAAATGTTTATCTTTTTATTTGGTTCATAATATAGAATAAACTGATTAAATTTAATGTTTTAATTTTTAAATCACAAAAGCTATTCTAAAAACACCAAATTTCAGGTTTTGCTACGAGTGCTTTTAAGACCAAAGCTCTCCTCCTAATTTTATGGGATGATATTCACCAAACACTTAGAAGCACTTTTAGAGTACTTTTAGCACCTAAAAGTGCTTTTTTATCAAAAGCACTGGAACCCCAAATGCGGCCTTAGATGCAGAAAACTGGACAGAGGATCCAAAGCCGCAGGGCTTTGATGGGTCTCTTCTTCTTTGCCAATAGTCAAAGCAAAATTTCAGGCTTGAAGATAAGTCGAATAGGGGAGCAAGGAGCTGCGAATCAGTCATTGAGGGTGTCATGTATCAGTGTTGATATTATGAAGAAATTGAAATTGAAGATAGATAGAAGAATAAGGTAGATGAAAGGAAGAAGTTAGAAAAAAGAGGAGAGTTGAGAGAGCAATTGGAGAAAGAATTATTATTGCTTGAACAAATTCAGATACAATTTTCCCCGACTCTTCCTTCAAATAACCTTGGTATTTAAGGACTAATGCAGCTATTACAGTGGCTGTTCTGTAACTAACTCTCCAATTACTGCAATTAAGTGGAACACACTCCCTAATGCACAAAATGACATCATTTCACCCATTGTCCATGACAATTTACCTCCCCTTAAGACTGAACCTTGTCCTCAAGGTTTGAAGTCAGGAAACTGATTGGTGATGAAGGACAAATCCTCCCACGAAGCTCCCTCAAAGCTCAATTGATTCCATTTAATCAGAAGTTGGTTTGTGGGCTGAGAATTCCTCAAAGTAGCCCTTCTTTTAAGCACCAATTCAGGCTCCAGTAAATAATGATCATCAACATCAAATTCTAGTATGGTAGGCTTGAATGGCGCTTCCTTCCTTCTTGTTTAATAAGGAGAGATGGAATACTGGATGTACCTTAACTCCGGGTGGAAGCTTCAGCTTATAGGCCACCTTCCCAGTCTTTTCAATCACCTTGAAAGGTCCATAAAACTTAGCAGCCAGCTTCAAGGATTTTCTGAATGCAATTGAGTGCTGCTTGGAAGGCTGGAGCTTCAGGTATACCATATCCCCCACTTGAAACAACTTCATCCTATTTTGTGCTTTGGTCAAATTATTTTTAAGAGTCTGGATGATTGAAAGTCTATCCTGCATCCAATTATTGGTTGCAGGAATAACTGAGTCATGAAAAGGACATAATGGTAAGTGGAGGGGGCTCATATCCATATAAAGCCTGGAAAAGAGTCATTTTCAAACTATTGTGAAAGTTGGTGCTGTACCACCATTCAGTTAATGCAATCCATTTGCTCCAATTATGTGGCCTTTCTCCTGTCATACACCTCAAGTATACTTCAAGACACTGATTAAGCCTTTCACTCGAACCATAACTTTGGGGATGGAAAGCTGTACTATAATTCAATTGAGTGCCCAGTAGTCTAAAGAGCTCCTTCCATAATATACTAGTGAAGATCTTATCCCTGTATGTCACTATAGACTCTGGTAATCCATGAAGTCTGTAAATTTGGTCCAAGAATTTCTGTGCTACAAGTTCAGCAGAAAAAGGATATGTCACTGGGATGAAATGCCCAAATTTAGTCAGCCGATCAATGACTGCTAAGATTTTGTTAAAACCATCAGACAAGGGCAGTTTCTCAATAAAATCCATCGTAATATGTGACTATGCCTGTGTAGGAATAGGCAATGGTTGCAGCAACCCTGTATAGGGGACATTTTCAGTTTTGTTGCGTTGGCAGACATCATATTGTCTAACAAAAGTCACCACTTCTTGCTTTAATCCTGGCCAGTAAAATAGAGAGTTGACTTTCTGTAAACACCCTAGTTGAACAGAATGTTCTCCTCCTGATGAGCCATGTAACTATTGAATGATATGAGTTCTGAGATTAGCAGAATTACCTGCATAAATTTTGCCATGAAACCCGAAATGCCATCTTTGTAAGAATACTGTGGCAAGGTTGCTGGGCAATCACCAACTGAGCTATCAGCTCCTTGGCTTGTTCATCCTCTAAGTAGCTATCCATAACTTTTTTCATCCAATCTAGCTGAACAGAGAATATCATCATAAGTCTTTCATTCTGATTCTCATTGCCTTGCTATTCAACCATTCTTCTAGACAATGCATCTGCTACTTTATTTTTTAACCTTTTTTTATATTGGATTTCATAATCCAACATTCCAACCCCAGCAATTTGGTAAGACACTTGTGTTGCAAGGAAGAGGTCAACTTCTACTCAAGGATATATTTAAGTGATTGATGCTCAGTTTTAATCACGAAATGATATCCCATCAAGTAATGCTTCCACTTGGTCAAGGCCAGCAATAAAGGCATCAATTCTTTCTCATATATGGAGAGCCACAAGTTTTTGGCACTCAGTGCTTTGCTTAGGAAGGGAATTGGCTGTCCTTCTTGTATAAGCACTGCTCTGAGGCCAACCCCAAAGGTATTTGTTTCCACGACAAAGGGTCTACAGAAATCTGGAAGCCTTAAAACAGGTGCTAAAATCACCACTTTATTGAGCTTTGTAAATGCTAATTCAGCTTCCTTTGTCCATTGAAATCCAGCCTTTTTAAGTAATTCAGTGAGGGGTTTGCAAATGAGGCCATAATCTTTGATGAATCATCTATAGTAACCTGTAAGACCCAAGAAGCCTCTTAAACCCTTTACATTCATTGGTCTGGGCCAACTCACAATATAGTCAATCTTCTTGTTATCCATCTTGACTCCATTCGCTGTAATAATAATGCCTAAGTATTGCACTTCCTTCTGAGCAAATAAGCATTTGGACTTCATGACATGTAACTGATTTTCTTGTAGAACTTTCAGAACCATACTCAGATGCTGCACATGAAGCTCCAAGGTGGGACCATAGATGAGTATATCATCAAGGAAGACCAGTACAAACTTCCTTAAAAATGGTTTGAATATTTGGTTCACTAGCGACTGAAATGTGGCTGGAGTATTAGTGAGTCCAAAGGGCATTCCTAAAAATTCATAGTGGCCCTCATGTGTTTGAATAGTAGTTTTGGGCACATCTTGTGGCTTGACTCTGATCTGATGGTACGCTGAAGTGAGGTCTAGTCTAGTCTGCCATTTAGCCCCATACAACTCGTTCAACAGCTCATAAATATTAGTATAGGATAGTTATCCTTGATTGTCAGTTTGTTGAGAAATTTGGAATCTACGCAGAACCTCCAAGTGTGATCCTTCTTCTTAACCAACAAAATAGGAGATGCATAGGGCCTATTGCCATGTTTAATGATCTTATTTTGCAGCATCTTGGTAACCTGAAACAGAGTTTCTCAGATTGAGGATATCTGAATGGTTTCAGTTATTAAAGGCTTTGCCCCTGGTTCCAAGTTTATCTGATGATCAACAGTCTTTTTTGTGGGTATTCCTCTTGGTTCTTCAAATACTGAATTGTATTGATTGAATCACAGAGGGTATATTTTAGTTGATGACATCCTTCCCTTTCTCTTCTGACATAACACAACATTCTTGCATGAATCTGCTATATTCTTTTAGATCTTTCCCTCTTATCAACCTTACAAAAGCATCATCAGCCCATCCATTTAAAGTAATCAGCTCTCCTCCTTTTAACATGTGAATATTCAAGTGATGGAAGTCAAAGATGATGTAAGCAAGAACTTGCAGTCAGCACCCAAAATTACATCTCAACCCCCCAAATCCATTACTTACAAATCATGACAGAAATTGTATTCTTGAATCTTCCATCTGACCCGTGGACAAATAGCTGCCCATAATACTACTTCCATCAGCCATAGTAACAGTAAAGGGATCAATGAAGATATAATCCAATTGCGATGCCTGAGAGTTTATAGCTTGCATAACTGTTAGTACTACCAATATTAACCCAAATGTGTATCCTGGTTTCTTTGAGCATGCCTTCAATAGTAATGATTTTTCTTTTAAGGGAATTTGATAAAGCATGTAAGGAAGCGTCAGTTACCTCCCCAGGATTTCCGGTTTTCTCATCTTGCTTCATGCAAGAATTCTTGCTCTTCCTCCTGTGGCACCAAGAAATTTAGATGCTTCATTCTGCACTGGTGGCCAAATCCATATTTTCTCCACATTTGAAGCACGAGCCAGTGTTCCTTCTATGCTATATCTCCTGAGCAGACAACCTCTGCACATCATTTGGATGGCGGACGGCTTTCTTGGGTTTGGGAATAGCTGGCACCTTGTGCTGGTTAGAGGATCCAGCAGTACCCACCCCATTTCTAATCAAGCCAACCGGCCACTGCCCACGGTTCTTGACTGGAATCTTTTGCTTCTTCTGTCCCCCAAGGTTTACTTCTTCATCATTTTGCTTCCTTCAAGCCATTATAAAACTTGAAATGAAATACAGCTCAAAGAGTCTTGGATCCCTAGTCAGCATTAACGCTTTTAATTCTCCAAATCTCTCGTGATATTCCTCAACTTCTCCTTGCTGTGATAATTCATTAAATTCCTCCACTTCATCACGTATGCCCTTATCCCCAAATCCAAGGGAACCATATTTATGCTTTATCTTGAAGGAAGACTTCTATCGCATCCACCTTTATTAACTCAGGAACTTGATAAAATGTGAAGTACTTGTTGCATTTCCGCAGCCATTCCCTTGAATTATTTCCTGAAGAAACAACTCAATTCAGCTCTGGTTTGGTAGGGAGTGTTGAATTTCCCAATCTTCTTCTTCTTGTTTCCCGCCATTGCTAACTCCTCCTCTCACGTTAGCTGGGAATGCAAGTGAGGAGTTGGTAACAGGGGTGTTTGCGTACTATCATCTGATCTTCTTGAGCTTTCACCCTGTTCAACATCCTCATTATAGTGTTCATGCCAACTATGAGAGAATCTATCTTTGAATCAAACATATGCTGTTGTTCTTCCATTTTTCCTACCATCGAGTGAAGTTTGGAATCCATCTTCCTGTTCTGCACCAGCAACTAAGCCTCCATTTGGAGCTGAAATTGCATCCGTTGCTGTTGCAGATTCTCCAAGGATTCTTGAAATTTCCCATCCTGCTTCTTGATCTGTTCCTCCAAATGCTTAAACCTCGTTCCGTCTGACATTGTAGAATCTTATCGACACTTTTGCAGATCCAAGAATCAACCAGCTCTGGGACCAAATTGTCATGAATCAGTGTTGATATTATGAAGAAATTGAAATTGAAGAGACATAGAAGAATGAGATAGATGAAAGAAAGAAGTCAGAAAAAAAGGGAGAGTTGAGAGAGCAATTGGAGAAGGAATTAGTATTGCACTTTAGAAGAGAGAGAGAAAAGGATGAACGAATTCAGTTACAATTTGCCTCGACTCTTCATTCAACTAACATTGGTATTTAAGGACTAATGCAGCTATTACAAGTGGCTATTCTGTAACTAACTCTCCAATTACTGCAATCAAGGTGGAATGAACTCCCTAATGCACAAAATGACATCATTTCACCCATAGTCCATGATAGAGGGCTGGAATGGGTGGGGAGCGGAGAGGGTGCATGGGTGCATATATATGGAGTATGGACTGGAGTGTGTCCCATTTATTTTTTCTTTTTCTAATCATAGGGAACTTCAGGTCTACCAAGGGAAAAAAGGAAGGAAGAGGAGTTACCATTCGAATTAGGGATTCCGTGATCACCTATCTAATGTCTCTATAAACTAAATTGGGTTTTTAGGACGTTCCTTTCCTTTCATTGGTACTTAGTTCTAGAAACCAACATTGTTGATGTATAGTCTGATTAAAGAAAATAGAATGATAATTGTAATATTCTAATCAACTCGAACAAAATAAATTTAGAGGAGTATATGACGACATTAGAAATGACATAAGAGATTAGTTTTATTTGTATTTCACAAATCTAATGTCCAGGAAGTGTCAGCGTCATTTTTGTTCTTTAAATGCATTCAAAGAAACTTTTACCCAGTTAAAATGCCTATTACATTGGTTAGGGGCTAAGTGTAACTAAAGTGGATTCAAGAAGGCAATGTGCAAGTCACTAATTCAGGAGCTTGAGACAAAAGAATGACTACAAATTATATCTTCTAAACAAGAAAAGGGGAAAAGTGACATGAATGCCAGGCCAAAAGTAAGTTTATGAATGCCGGGCAAAAGTAAGTGTCAGTGTTTGTGCTTGTAAAAATATATTTGTTGGCAAAATCAATGTGCAATCTTATATGTATGTGTGAAATTCCGTATATGTGGAAGTAGATATTCTAGCTAAGGTCAAGTAAACTAATTGAAAAAAAAAATTTGGATTAAATTATCACTTGATTATAAAGTTCAGTGATTCAATACATTCTAACTTGTCTGAAATTCATATTTGAGTTGCTAGATTTTAAAGACTCATTGACGAAAAACATCCTATTCTAAATTTATTTAAAGGATAAAAAAAAATCCTATCCTCTTATATTCTGTGAAACATAACTTATTTAAAAGAGTAAGACTCTGATTGTCTCCTGAATTCCCTCCCCCCGGATTATTTAGTGTATAGGTAAATTTTCAAATTTCCACCCAACAATAGATTTGTTAATACTTCAATTCTGTATTGTTCAATAAAATTAATTAGATAAGAAATGTAACTTTAATTAGGAATAAGAACTTGAGTAATTACCTAGCGAAACAAAAATACAAACAATCTGCAACACCAAAATATGTTCTGCATATATAAGAGCAACATACCCGTGCTTGGCGGTGTTTGGAATCATTGAATAGATTTATATGATGAAAATGTGTAGTCAGTCACGGAATTTTGGCATAGGATTGCTCAAGATGAATTTGCAGTTTGCAGGATGTCAGTTCCAAAGCCTGGGCCATCCGTTTCAGCCGCACACGGGACTTCTGCAGACGTCTTTCCGCACAAAAATCACAGGAGAAGGCATGTAATAGATTTACCCCACAATTTTAAAACACTAAAAGATCAAGTGGATAGTCTCCGTGCACATTGGAAGGTCATCAGTGACGATATAAATCATCAATCAGCGACCAGGCAGAGAAACGATAATCATGCAGCTTGTCATAGTGAAATAGAGTGGATATTGAAATATTACCAAGAGAATATTGTCAACCGGTACAAAAAGCTAGTTGGAATTGAATCAGGTGGAAACCAAACCCCAGTCCATGAATTGTCAGCCGCTTCCAAAGGTTGGAAGAACAAATTTCGTAACCCAACATTCTACAAGCTTGCAAGGCTGGATAAAGATGTTCTCAAGTTTGCGACTGAAGTCACCAATCTGGAAAATAAGATTACACTTGAGCATGTAACCAGTACCATAAATCCAGGAATTGTTGTAACACAAAGTGCTCAAGAACTAACTCATGTGCCTTCACATGAAGCGGTCCTTGAGATCCTGGAGGACTGTTTATGTGACCGGGGCTGCAAGAGGATTATCATCCACGGAGAACCACAAGTTGGAAAAACAAATATTTTGAGAAACTTGAATAACCGGTTGGTTCAATGCCCTCCCGGCCTGGAATTGGACTACGTCATTTGGGTGACTTTTCCGACTCATCTGCTGGAGCCGGAGGACATCATCACTGACATACAAGACAAAATTCTTCAGCGTCTGGGCTTAAATGGGCAGAGTAGTGGAAGTGGGAAAAAAGTAGTAATATCTAGAGCACTTCATGAGAAATCATATTTGCTGCTTTTTGACGGGTTCTCTTCCTCAATTGAGCTTGAGGACATTGGAATCTCTGAAGAACATGTGCACGGGAAAGTCATCATTGAAGCTAAAGATCCATATCTCCTGAGGAATTTTCCATTCGACAAAGCAATCAAATTAGAGAGGTTACCACCCCAAGATTCAAGGAAATTGTTTGATAAGATCATTTATGATGAAACATTTTGTGGACAAAAAGCTGACTTGATCCCTAAGGAGCTTGGGCTTCCAGGGGTGACCATATCTGCAGCTGGGCACCCGAGAATTTTTAATCGAGTACAACATTGGGAAAAAAATGCTGACTTGATCGTTAAGGAACTTGGTGGGCTTCCAGGGGTGATCACATCTGTAGCTGGGCAGCTGAAAATTAATAAACGAAAACAATATTGGGAAGATATGATTCGAAGATTGAAAGCAGATATTTGGGATAATAATCTTCTGGAATTGGCAGGCTTGGCAGGAGTAAAATTGGCTTTTGATACAGCTTATAGTAAATTGAAAGAGAATGAGCGAAAGTGCATACTTTATGCAGCATTGTTTCCAAAAGACTTCACAATTCCCATAGATATTTTGGTCGAATGTTGGAAAGCTGAAGAGTTTCTATGGTGTCCTATTCCTACACTCTCTCACGCACGAAGAGAAGGAGCGTGTGTACTCAAACAGCTGATTGAGCTTAATCTCTTAGAGAAGTGTTTTGAACACCATGTCAAGATGCCAATAATCTATAGGAGACTTGCACTTGAAACACCTTTCCCTGGGGAGAAAAATGCAACGTCCTTTGTCAGGTCGGGTCCAGAGATAGACGGACACCTAAAAGACGAAGAATGGGAGATGGCCAGAAGGGTGTCTTTGATACAAAGCCAATTAGAGGAATTACCTGTGAGCCCGAAATGTGAGGGCATGTCAACACTATTTCTGCAATTTAACCCAAACTTGACAAGCATTGAGGAACCGTTCTTCAGAAGGATGCAGAACCTTCGAGTTTTGGACCTGCACAGCAAAGGAATAAAATTGTTGCCTCCCTCTATCTCCTACTTGATGTCACTCCGGAGTTTATACCTCAACAATTGCTGTGACTTAACCGTGCTCCCACCTGAAATAGTGAAGCTCAAGAAGCTTGAAGTTCTTGATATTCGAGGTACCTCAATCCATTGTTTGCCCGAAGAGATCAGCAGTTTGTTTGGCCTTAGGTGCTTGAGGTTTTCATTTGTCCTTGAAGCGTGCAATCCCAATCCGGAGATAGAACGGACATGGCTCATATTTTCCCCCGGAACGGCTGACCAGCTTGACAAGCTCGAGGAGTTGACTATTGTCTTAGTAAATGGAAGCAATGACGGCATTGTTGATCGAATAAAGGCAGAGATGCTTGAATTTGAGAACAAAAATAACCAGTTTAAGTTCATTCTTCATAGGCTGTCCCAATCAGTGGACCAAGGGAATCTCGTTCAACTAAAGGGAAAGGCAGTATACCTTCCGAATCCAAGTGTTACTGCAAGTCATGCTCATGAGCCAACAACAGGAAACCAGTCTCCGAGATCAGACAACAAGGTAACCCTTTCATTTGTGATCTGTTGCACCTTTTCCAACACGAAAAGGGGCAAAATTACTTATCCTACAATGAAAATGTTTCTTTTAATTTTTTTAAGGTATAATTTTTCAGAAACCTCCCCTTAGGTTTAGACCGTTGCACTTGATGCCATAAAACTTTGAAAAATCTCACTTTTCTCTCCTATTTTAAACTTTTGTAACATTAAAACGCACTTCAAAATATAATATTGAAAAAATTATTAGGGTTATTATCATTTTATCCCCTTAACGTTTGCTGCTACTATCAATTTTTCCCTTAACGTTATCTTTTAATCGCTTTACTCCCAAAACTAACGGTTAAATTTAACGGAGTTTGTTAATTAAAGTGAAAAGATATGTTTAACCCTTAAAATTATTATCACTTTACCCCCATAATATATAGTCTCATTATCAATTTACCCTCTAGAGTTAGTTTTTAGACAATTTGTTCTACCATTAAACCAACTTAATAAGTTAAAAAATTTTAGAAGAAATTACCCTTCTCTTTGCATAACAAAAAATTTAGAGTGACCCTTCTCCTTTTTAGTATCAAGAAAAATAGTCAAAATATTAATTTCTTTCTTCTTGGTAATCTTATTAATATTGAAAAAAATAGAAAGATGGAGAGGGGGAGGGGGAGAGAGAGAGAGAGAGAGCTCAATTCCTTTTTTAAAAATTACAAATAAGAAAGAATTAAATACTTTTATTATTTTAAAATTATTTCACTTTTTGGTTTACTACCAAATTTCAAATCTAATCGCGACAACCTTAAAGTAATACGATAATGTTAGACTTTTTTTGCAAAATCTAATTTTTTGCCTCCTTTCGTATCTCTTTTTCTTTTCCTAGTATTAATAAGTGTGAAAAAAAAATTTGAGAAAATCCTTTTATATTTATTTTTTCGATCTCTTAAAGTGAAAAGAAAAAGAAAGAATAACCATTCCAACTTTTTTATTTTTAATTATATATAAAAAAGGGTAAATATATTTAAAATTTTTTGACCACACTAGTTAGATTAATGATGAGGTAAAATGCCTAAAAAATAATGTTAGGAACTAAATTGATTATATCACTATAATTCAAACAAATAAAGTGATAATAATAATATAGTAATGTTATAAAATAAAAGGGTATTTTTGTTCAAAATTTCGTAACATGTTGAGTTGAATTACTTATGGGGGTAAAGTGACTAAAAGATAACGTTAGGAGGTAAATTAATAGTAGTGATATAGTTTAAAGGAGTAAAGTGATAATAACCCAAATTATTATGGGAGGGAGAGTATAATTTCATTCCCAATTTGCCCTTTTCTTGTGATTTATGAATTTTCATAACACACCAAATTTATCTCTTAATTTTTGTCAATTGATTGATGTAATTCTTTATTGAAAAACTCTTTAATAGTTTTGTATCATTGGTTTAGACAAAAAATGTTAATTACCTAAAATTACGAATGATTTACAATACTCTTATATATTATTTTTAGCATGTTTTTTATTTTAGTTTTCAAGCTATCAATATGGACAAAAAAATTAGAAAATTCAAAAAATATATATATACAATTTATAAAACTTCTTAAACTAACTAAAAATGCTTTTTAGTACAGAAAATATTATATTTGTAACTTGTAAAAACTTCAAAAATTTCAAATATTAACTGTTGATATTTAAAACGCACTATATTTTGTTCAATCGGAATAAACCTTCATGCTTTTTATTTCTGTTTTTATTCATTATTAAAATATACATGCTTTTGTAATAAAAAATAAGACAACAAAAAAATAAATTTGTAATAGGATTATATTTACACTCCCAAAATGATTTTTTTATATTATATATTAAAATGGGTTTCAAATTATACAAAAAACTTAAATTAAGGGAGACAAGTGATATTTTTCAAAGTTTAAGGGTGCAAGTGAAACAGTTAGAAACCTCAAGGGAGCTTTCAAAAATTATCCTTATTTAATTTGTTTAATATTTGAAAATTTGTTTATTTATTACCCTTCCCCATATATTCTTTAAAAGCTTCATTCTGTTCAAGTTTGACTTTTTACTTAGGATGCATTTGATAAAACTGAACTTTGAAAACTAAAATCTAAAATTTGATATCTGAAATCTAAATATATTAAACTACTAAATTATTAATTACTAAATTTAATACATTTGAATATGTATCACATTAAATGATAAATGAATAGCTTATGACCTATTGTTTGGAGCAAGTTTTGCTTAATAAATTTAGTATCATTCAATTAATTCAGATATTGTATATTTGGTTAACAAATGTATTGACCATGCTAAGATATGAAACTATTAATTTAAGTGTTGAATTGAGTTATCAAAGAGGGTAATATTTAAGTCCATCTTAGTAATGTTAAATTCCTATAAAGTAAAGGTAATTAAAATAAATTATTTCATATTGCCCAAAACTAAGATTACTATAAATTGTTTCTTCAATTTTCATATTGTATATTGGAAAAGGGTGATGCCCTCCCATGTTAACGCTACCTCAATAAATTTTGTACGGGGAAAAATACAACCTCCCCTCTGATTTTTTTTTTTTTTTTTAAATGAAGATCGCGCTTCAAGATTTAAGACTAACAAAAGACCTCCATCCTAGTTTGCAGTTAAACAAAATTACAAACCTCCCCTAGTTTGCAGTTAACAACGTCTCACAATATCTCCATATGTTTTCCAAAATACTCGTTGCAGTGATAGCAAAACAACAGATGCTAGAATTTTATCTTTAAAAATTTATTGGATTACCCATTGCATTTTGTCATAATTCTAAGCTTAGGCATGTACATGTAGATTTATAGATGAACAAGCACTATGTTAAACTTACCCAAGGCCACCTCCTTCTAATATTATTTGTTGTAGAAAAATAGTTTTAGGTTTACTACGATCTGAAGAAAACAATTACTCTAATTAGCAATAGGAAACCTTTGTATTATTTCATTTGTCTTTTGAATTGTATTTTGGCCTTGCGAACTATTTTGGTCTACTCTGTCTCATGTTTGGCCATGCTTTTTCGAAACAACAATCATCTGATTTCAGTCAGATTCTCTAATGCATTACAAGAGCATAAGAGGCACGGATGTTCTGGGAAACCAAAAAGTAGGAAAGATGACCTAAGGTCAAAAAGTAAAAAAAAATAATATAGAGAGACTAAGGAATAAAAAAGAAAAGTAATAAAGAAAAAATTAAAGTCTAGAGTAAATTTGTTTACGTGCACTTGATGTTGATGATGATGGATAGAGAATACATGAAGGGACGTCACTGATGGTAAGCAAATTTTGTTTATCAAATAATAGTCGGAGGTTCAAAGTTCAAATTTGAACCTCATGATTAAGAATAGGAACAGTATTGAAAAAGATGAGAGGATTAAAAAAAAATCTGTAGAAATGACAAAATTAAACCCTTCAAGTCTAGGTGCAATCTCGCAATACGCAAATTTATAATTTACTCAAAAATTTTTGTGACATTAACATTTTAACTATAGCATCTTTTTTTTTTTTTGGCTTTTGTGAAAGAACATTTTACTATAGCATCAACGTCAAACCCTCCAACAAATTAAAACAAACCTAAGTAAGAAATTGCTTAATGTGGTCCTTTTTAACTTTTCCTCCGACCATATTATAGATGGCAGAACTTTCCTGGTAAACAATAACTTTAAAATCTACTGGCAAATGATAATTTCAAGCTGTCACATGGTCAAATCTGGTCTTGGGTTCCCACAAGCAGTGCTAGTACTGGTTGTACCATAAGAAAGCTATCTTCTGGAGCTGCTATTGATATTGAATCCACCATATTGTGTTCCTTTATCGTTTGAGACAGCTTATGGTTTGCACTGGTTTGCACTGTGACTACACTCGCTTCACTTTGCTTTCCTATGCTAATTCCATATTATAAAACAGCACGAAACCCCATATAACTAGGTAGTAAAGCCAGAAATACGAAAAAGAGCTTAAATAGATTTATTCTTGCAAAAATTATATGCTCCCAACCGGCCCTTCTTTATCTCTTTTCCTTTCCTGAATTTGAGCGTTGCATTTTCTTGTTCTCTGCTAAGTTTCTTCAAGAGGGGTTCATCTCATTTAGCTTCTTTTGTCCAAAAGGACTTGGTTTTTGGTTGGAAGTTCTCATTTTTCCTGTCAGCAATTAGACTATATTTAAGGGCACCTTGCATCTCATTCTGTAACAAAATGGCAGAATGAGTAAACCGGACTTCTTGAAGACTCAGGTATTGTGTTACTTCTTCCCACGGGCTCTCTCTTATATTAGATTCAGGTTCTTGTTTTTGCTTTATTGTGCATGATTAAGTTTGTTGTACTATTCTTCCATTTTAAGATATGGTAATTGGCTATTCTTGTTACATGAAGTTATCTGGAGCAATATTTGTTGTTTCTTTTACTTTTTTGAGTGTTTGTCGGGAAAAATGAGAAATTTATTGCAAAGATTTCAACTTGGAAGGATTCTGGAGTTGTAGAAGCTAATCAAGACTATTTTTTCCCTCAAAGTGATGATTTTTAGAAAAAGAGAGCCAATAAATGTCTAGTTTGAGACCTGATAAGGATATTTTCTCTCGGAATGTAGAAAGATTTTGCACTTCTTTCTCATCTTCAATTTGCTTTCCACAAATTTCGTGCAGAGTTGTGTTCTCAGAGTGAACATCCATTGTGAAGGTTGCAAGAAAAAGATCAGAAAGACATTACTGAAAATTGATGGTAAGTCACTCTTAGTTAGTAATTAGCAATAGAATCTTTTAGTAGTTGCTCAGAATAGGTAAATCTTGGGCAACTCTGTTCAAGTGCGTATGACCCCTTTGGACTCACTGCTGATTTTTTGGTAAATATGATTTTGCAGGAGTTTATGCTGTTAAAATAGATGTAGACCAACAAAAAGTTACTGTGACAGGAAATGTTGATCCAGCTACACTGATAAAGAAGCTTGCCACGGCTGGAAGGCACGCAGAATTGTGGGGAGCACAGAAAGGCGGGAGTGGTGCATTCAACTTGAACAACCAGTTCAAGAATATGCAAATTGATAACTTTAAAGGTGGGGAAGATAACACAAGATGGGAGGTTAGTATTATTTGCCCTTTTGTTTACCTCAAGATGGACTTCACGTGATTTTTTTCTCCTTCATATAAACTATTCAAATGTCTGCATCTTTTCTAAAGTTCATGATATTCAAACTAATGGATTCCCTATTTTTTGGGGTACGTATCAGAGATTCACTTTAGGCTGTAGGAAGTAGGAACATAATTTTGCACCCTAACATTACTTTTATATTGTTTTATGGAATTTTCTATTTCTTCAATTTAATCCTTAATCTTTTACTATCGACCCAAATTTATTCTTCGAAATTTAACAAATCAAGTAGGCACTTATAGCAAAGTCATGTCTATTTTCTTATCCTTGACTTTCATACAATTACCACATTCACCAACCATTTTTAAGAGAGAAAGACGTTATAGTACGAAACAAATGAATATTACAGTTCACCTAAATCACTAGACAAATATAACGGAAATAAATTAACACGCTACAACATAATGGGGTTTTTTAAATGGGTGCCTAATAGCACTCATTAGTATACCTAAAACCTATGTTTTTGGACTCGGACTTAGGGATGCTAATGGGGTGGGGGGAATTTTTTTCCCCCCACTTAGAAACGGGGCGGGGGACGGGGGAGTGTCCCCGCCCCGCCACTCGCTTTAAAAAAATAAAAATAAAAATATATATATGTATATAATTATATATATAATATATAATTTAATTAGTTACAAATTTATGATAATGATATTATTAGTTATATGTATTGTATAATGTTTATTAGTATATATAATATAATTGATATTATTAATTATACTAATAATTATATATATGTACTAATACAAATTAGTAATTGGTTATATTAAATTTACTAATACATTTATACTAAATCCCTAATTACACTTAATACAATAACATTTTTTTCTTAAAAAAAACACAAGCACAATAATGAATTAGTGATTGTATTTGTGTTAAAAGTGAAAACTTGACTACTTTAGTTATATTTATTTTATCATGTTGGATTGTATTCAAATAATTTTTGTTTGATTGTTTTTATAAGTATCAATTGAAAAATTATAATGAATAATAATTTGATGATGTGTCGATATTTTAGTACTTGATTATTTGCTAAAATTTAACTATAATAAAATTATATAACAAATTTTTATTAGCTCCGCAAGGGCACCCGCGGGGAAGCTGGGTGGGGCGGGGATGGGGTGGGGGATGGGGAATGGGGCGGGGGCAGGGGAAATTTGTAGGCAGTGGGGCGGGGGATGGGGTAGGGGTCCCCCGCCCTAACCCCGCTCTATTGCCATCCCTACTCAGACTGGGTATTGACTCAACTGAACTTAGGGGTCAAAGATTAATGGATTCGAATCGGATGATGTCATCAATATATATTAATTATAAATAATTAAAATAATATATAAAAATTCCCTTTAAATAGGTGATTTACAACTTTATATGCATGTTTGATGAGTTTAGATTTAGTCTAAAAGAAATGCACTTAAAAGTTATAGGTAAATTTGTAGTTTAAAAAAATATAATGGGTGGATTTTGTACTTCTTAAAATAATATGGGGTCAAAATGTTAGCACTTAGCCGCCGCTCTAGTTCCTTTGCTTTTCACTTTATCCTGGTTCCTTCTTCTTCCTCCCATTCACTATAAATCTTTTCTTGTCTCCAAAAAGGGGGGGAACAAAAAGAAGCCAGGAAGAGGTGGTAGTGGTGGAGATAACAAGAAGAACGAATCAAAAGATGATGCCGTGAGAGATTACCCGGCGCCGATGCCCTATCAGTACCCGCCACCCGTGCCGGTATACTACACCGCACCAGTGCCGGCATACTACGCCGGGAGTGCGGAGGAGAATCCAAATGCTTGTGTCATATGCTAACTTCCAAGGATTAGAAGAACTTCGAAGTCATGAATCATGAAAGTATCCCCCATTAGACGACGGCAATGCCAGTTTCATCTGTTATGTTTTTTAATTTTTGGGTGTCAATCCTAAGGATAATTTTTGTTAGGTTAGTACGCAGTGGTATTTTAGAAGTCAAGAAGAGTGCTCCCAAAAACTCTTTTTATCTTTGTTATTTTCCTTTTTTCCTTCTCTCCTCTTCCCTTCTTTGCTGTTTTTCCTCCGATTTGATATCAAATATTTCAAGAACTAAGTTGCAGGAAATCAAGTTAGAAAATTTAGGGAATGAATTTTCTCTCTTAATCTGGGTTGTTACTTCATTTCGCTTGGAGCTGGTCAAAAATCAAAAGATGGAAAAAAAAAAAAGAAAAAACAGGAAGAAGCAGCCAATATGAACTATGAAGAAGCAAGGATGAGGTACCATCGGCATCGGGATCTTTCCGATTCTAGCAGTTCTTGGTCAAACTCAAGTTTTGATTGAATTTGATCGATTTTTAGACTGGCAGTTTTTCAAAGAAATTCGGGTCGAATGCTTGGCTGGCTTTTGGTTCAATTGGTCGGATCGGCCAGTTCGATCCGAATTTAAAAACATTGCCTAAAACCTATTATATAAACGAACATACTAACGGTTATTACACTTCTTTATAGTTATACACTTTTCCTAACTACAATTATTACTTTCGCTTGAATTTATATAATTTATCTAATTAATTTTACTTTTTCAAAAATTAACATATTTGGGTCTTTTTAAAGAAAGATAATCTAAATAACATAATAACAAACTCTTGTTTTAGTAACAACAGACTATCAGTAACAAATTTATGAATGTTGCATCAAATACTTCTTGAAATGGTTGCTCTTTGACCTTATATTGAGATAAAAGATTTGGAGTCGAAATTGAAATAAATTATTTTAGATTGACATCAGAGATTTGTTTAAAAGAAGTTGATAATACATAATACATACACATATACATATACATACATATATATATATATATATATATATATATATATATATATATATGTGTGTGTATATATATATGTGCATGTATATGTATATGTATATATGTGTGTGTGTCTGTAGACGTGCTATCGAGTCGAGTCGACTTCGAGTAGCACGATGTTTAAGCACGAACTCGATTTCTATCAGTGTTGCTCGAGTTCGAACGAGTATATAAATTTGAGTTCGAACTCGACTCGTTTGAACTCGAGTAATGTAAGTCTTATCAAGCTCGAGTTCGAGCTTTCTTTTCTTATTATTAATTTTTTACATTTTAGATTTATTAGATTACCATTTTGTCATCCATTACTTTTCTTTACTGAATATTACATCATGTAAATTTATTAAAATATGAACCCATAATAGTCATTTTCATAATTAAAATATATAATATATAAATAATATAAATACTCTAGTAAACTCGTCATGTACTCGAGTATTTACTTCTGATACACGAACTCGACTTGTTACATGTAACGAGTAGCTCGAGCTTGAGCCCATCATTACATGTAACAAGCATCTCGAGCTCAAGCTCGAATTCGGTTAACTCGGTCAAACCAATTCGAGTCAAGATTTTGACCAAGCCGCTCATAAGCTATTTGCGAACAGCTTGGCTTGATAGCACCCCTATATGTATGTGTGTGTATATAAGCAATTTTCATCCTAAACCTCCCATTAAGCTTCCAAGTCTCTATCCTTTTTGCTTAGAATTTTGAATTGTTTTATTTAAAAATTGATTTATGTCTTCTGTTTTTTTTTTCGTAACGACATATCTAATCTAGTCTATTCTGGGAGGGTGGTTCAACTGAGTCGGGAGAATCCAATGGAGAGTGAACTATCATCAGATCATACGAGTGCAGCACACATCCACATGAATTTAGAAAAAGCCACATACTGTGGCATGTTGATAAAAGATAATGTTTGAATTCTTCACCTCCCACCCCACAATACATGTGGTGGCCAACTCCTCTTCTATTTCGATTGGCAATAATGTCATGGATTGCTTTGTTGTTCATAGTTCCCTAAATTTTATGTAGTTCCAAATATGGCATATAGTATTCGCTCTCTTAATAAATATAATTGATTAATCATACCAAAATAACGTTTGTATTAAATATAATATTAAACCTTAGTTAGTTTTATATCATTCCCTATTCTGTTTTGCTCCAAACATTCCCCAGAATACTTAATCCTCTCATAATGCAATTAAGTAAATATACCAAACATAACTACAAACATTTAAAACTAAAAATAATCATAAACATAATAATAAATATAAAAAATTAACTAAATAACATCCATTGACCGACATAAACTAATAACATATGTTCTGGTTGTCCGTCGAAACAACATTATTCCAAATCTTAAAAGTTGAAACAATTTAACAAATTAGCAAAATTGACTAACAAATACAAAAATAAAAATAAAAATTTTAAACCCTTTTCTATGGAAATCCTAACTATAATTTGCAAAGCCTATGTGCACTAAAAAATGAGACGTATTTATCAAATGCTTCGATTTTTATAATCACCACGTATTGAAATTAAAATGGGTCTAACTCTATATCTTGACCTGGATCTAAATTTGGACCTACTTTATATTTAACTACCTACTAAAGTTGTTAAGTTTTGTTAACATAAAAAAGAAACAATAATATTGTTTATCTGTTCTTATTTTAGCAATCCAAACTAAATCTATGTATAACTATGACTAACAAAATGCAAAAGGAAATATCTAACTTCAATTCAAATTAAAGAAAATATTTAGGGTTAATTTCATAAACCTCCCCTGAGGTTTTCCCCGATAACACCTAGCGCCCCCCAACTTTGAGAAATCACACCTACCACCCTTAGAATGACAACTTTCATCACATTGTCAGCCCTTTTGTGTAAGAATGGTATTTAAAAATTGTTTATAGGGAGATACTATTTTTTGTTCCACTCTTACCCTACTGGGAACATGAGCTTTGAATTTACAAGATGAAAATAAAAACAAATATATGTTGTGATATTATTTTTGAAGCTAAATGGGTGTAAGTGCAATGAGCACAAGAAGCTTCTTAACTATGCTAATATGGAGGACCATTGGGTAGGACCATTTTCAAAATGTTTGGTGTTTAAGCTGTATAAAGTAGCTTGGAAACAAGCTACTAATATCATTCACCATCAATTTTCGTTGGGCAAATTGCAGCAACTAATGCACAATCTAATATTGATTGCTATCTACAATTTTTATTCAGATTACAAAATCAATTTGATGAAATCCAAGTACAACATGACCAGACTCTTAACTGCATAGCTCAAAATATATAGTCAAGTATTTCTCATGTCTAGGCTAAGCACCACTGCTACTTAATATTAGTAAGGATGAACATGATCAAACCCCAATCCTTCAGCTATTTTTGTAGTTTTAGAAATATTCGTTTGATTACCATCATCTATGGACTACAAAACATCATTGCATCTCAATTTTGTTAACATGCATACTATATATTAGCTAAGATCTTCACCATATTCCTTAATATCAACAAAAATCTGCAAAAATTAAAAAGCTCATTCTTTTTTTCTTTTTGTTTATAAGTGGGAGGTGAAACTGATTCTTATCTACTTTGGTGGAGTCGAAGCTGAAAACCTACGACTTCAAGAGCACCCGAACTGCACTTGTAAATTGTTTTTCACCAAGTGATTGATTTTCGCCTAACTATCACCACCTCTTCATTGGCAACTATATGCTCAAGTGGGATTAACTAAGAAAGCCCACCATCAGGGTTATGTACTCCAAAAATGGCGCTCAAATTGTGTGCCAAAAATGATAGCAATCTTGTTCTTTCAATTTCCAATTAATATAGCTTCAAATTTTTATTTTTTTTTTAGTTTTGCAGCATTTTCCTGCACAAGAATTACTTAATACTAGGGGTAGCATCATAATTTCTCCTCTATTGATTGGGACAGGATGTCACTTCATTCTGCCAAGGGTGGTAAGTGTGATTTCAAAAGGTTAAGGGGTGCTAGGTGTAAATAGCAGAAACCTCAGGGTAGGTTTCCGAAATTAACCCAAATATTTATACTATGAAAATTAGTTTTAGGAAAGATAACTTAAAAATAATGCACAAAGTTTGGTCTGTGATACTTTCAAAATGTTCTTAGAAAACTTTTATAGTAGACTTGTTCTTTAAAAATCTTGACATATGATATCTTTTCTGTGTTTTTGAACATCTTATTGGGGTATTTTTCACAGTTGACATTTGATATGTGTGAAAATGACTAGCAAGTGGCAAATCAGTCGTGAAAAATGATGAGACAGAGAGAGAGGGGGGGTGTGTGAGGAGGATGGACAGAGTGGGGCAGATGTAGCATCCAGAGGAAAAACGATTTGAATTGGGGGTTGCTGCGGGATACAGGGTTAAGGGCAAGGAAGAGGAAAGTAGTAAAGTGCTGGAATGGGCTTTGGGGGACAGGCTAGAGTTGGAAGCTAAATTTACTCAAAGATATTAAAGCACTTGAACAGTTTGAAATTTAGTCGAAGACGTATTGATACTATGAAAATAGTTTTGAGAGGATAATTTGAAAATAATGTACAAAGTTTGGCCACATTTTGATGGGATAGTATTAGGATGTCCTTAGAAAACTTTTACAGTAGCCATGATCGTTAAAAATTGTTGCATATGGTATTTTTGGGGTGCTTTGAAAATTTTTTGAGTAACTTTTTAAAGTTGGCATTGGATATGTTCAAAAATAGTAGGCAAGTTATAAACGATGGCATGAAAGAAGAGTGTGGGGGAGAGGGGGAGACGTGGCCTGGGTAATCTATATTGGGAGTTCTAGGCAGAAGGAAAGATAGAGGAAAATTAGTAAATGGGGCGGGTTTGGGGAGGGGCGCCCCCACCCGCTGCCCACTACTTCCCCCCGCACCTCCCCTCTCCCTCCCTTGCTCCCTCCAACCCACCCCGCTTTCTTCGCGGGGTTAATAAAAATTTATTATTTAATTTTATTGTAATCAAATTTTATCAAATAATTAAATACTAAAATATAAATATATCACCAAATCATTATCCATTGTAGTTTCACAATTAAAATCCATAAAAACAATCAAACAAACAAAATATTTGAATACCATCCAACATGGTGAAACAAATACAACTAAAGTAATCAAGCTTTTACTTTTGTAATAAATATAATCACTAAATCATTA